GGGACCTCAGCATTCAGAATTGAATACCTTAGTGTGGGTTCTGAGGGTGGGACCTGAGCTTTGGCTGGCAGCTTCCTCCCTCTCTCCTTTCTTCCTCAAAGAGGGCTGGGATGTCGTTCAATGGGAGAGCTTGTGCTTTACATATGCAAAGTTCTAGGCTCATACCAGCACCAAAAAAAAAAAAAAAAAAAAAAAAAAAGTATGGGCCCTACCAGGCTTCTGTGGGCTTGGCACAAGGAGGGAGTTAATTACAGTGCCCTCTGGGGAGGGGTAATTCATAGTGTCCTCCAGGGAGATGTGGTGGGGGGCCAATTTGTGGCTGGGTCCAATTTCACAGAATTTGGACCCAGGCATTTTTCCTGTGGCTAGGGTCTTGGTTGGGCTCTAGCAGGTCTGTGATGCCCTTCTCTTCAGGGCCTCTGGACTGGTGCAAGTCCTGCTTACTCTGGATACTGCCTCTGGGGCCAGAGCCCAGGATAGAGCCAGAGCGCAGGGATGGCACAGGTTGGGGGTATGCAGGGCCTGTGTGCTGAGGGGTCTGAGTCCAGTCTGTGTTGGGGAGAGTCTCTCTTGAGGGAGTATTCATAGAAGGGCACAGAATATCTTCCCCTGCTAGAAACACTCTTGGGAAGGGGGCAGGCAAGCAGCCATTCATGCCTTGGTTCTCTCATTCATTTAATAGCTATGATGCAATCCCAGGTGGAGGGGACCCAGACATAAAGTGGTAGAGAGATGGAGGCCTCCCAGGAGAAGGAGATTGAGATGGAGGAAGGAGGTTGAGAAGTGAAGTCAATGGGCTAGGCCATCAGTTGAAAGAGAAGGAAGGCAGATGAACAGCAGAGGGTCTCAAGAGAGGGATGGCAGCAGGAGCCAGTTGAGCCCTCAGGCATCAGAATGGAGCCAGGTGTCCCCAGTGGGGGGCAGGGAGACTACAGGTGTCTGGGCCTGGTGGGGGGTTCCAACCATAAACAGGGCCCAGGAACTGGCCTAGCCAGTGTGGAGGGTAGAGGTCAGAGCAGGCCTATGCACTATGGTGGAGGCAGGGCCCAGGTTCCCGAGCTGATGCAGAGTCCAGAGCACAGCTAGGCCCTCTCCTCCCCCATCCCTGGGGCTCCCTTCCCAATGTAGGTCATGAGGATGGGGTGGCTGTGGCAGACGGGCTGTCAGAGCCCGGCGGGACTTCCCCTCCCCCACCCTCACTTTCCCCTCGCCCCTCCCTCCTCTGGTAGCCCCCCGGCCCAAGGCTGGGGTGGAGGGGAGGAAGGAAGAAGGAAAGGAAGGGCTCAGGCAGCCAGAGCAGGGAGAGAGAGGGGCAGGTCCCGGCGTGTTGGGGCAGGATGGCTGCGGAGACAGGATCTAAGCCGCAGCAGCTCTGGGATGGACAGTTTCCCACCCCCTCTTCTCCCTAGCCCCCTTATCTTCAACCCGCAGGTTCCTACCTCCCACCACACTCACCTCGAAGCTACACCCACCATCTTCTCCCCCCACCCCGCCCCGCCACTTCCTCCTTTCCCTCTTATCCTGGGCCCAGAAGGATGTCGGAGTGTCAAGGCACAGGATGGGGGAAAACGCTTGGGAGTGGTGGTGAGGGGGGAACGGATCAGAACCTTTCCCCCAACTCCACCAGGCCAGGACCAGCCCCCTCCCCCAGCCTCTCGTAGACTGTCATATAATATTCATGAGCCTCATGAATACGCAATGTTCTCATTATGGGGCGGGGGTCTCACTCCGCCTCCCCCTTCGCCACTCCCTAGATTATCGGGAGAAGCGGTAGTTTCGGGGAAGAGGAGAAGAGAGGACCCCAGATGTGAAGCCAGACGAAGGGGGAAGGGGAGCCGGTGGCTGACGGGCGGCCACAGTCACCGCGGTGCCAGGAGGTTTGGGGCGGGGGTAACCTATACAGAGGGTCCCAGGAGCCTGGAGCCCGGAGTCGCAGAGCCACTCACCGAGGATCATGCTGGGGACCCAGGCGCCCGGGGTTCCGCGTCGCTCTGTCCCGGGGGCCGTTCTGGCCGGGCTGGGGTACGGGGGGGAGGAGTCGGAGGAGGAGCAGAGGCCCGCCGAGGCGGAGCTGGGGCGGGGCTGCAGCAGGTGAAGCTTGGAGGAGGGGGGACCCGAGCACCCCGGGCTCCGCGAGGGGGCGTCCTGGCCGCCTCCCACCCTTCTGATTCCTGCCTCTGGATCTCCGGGCTTTAGGATGTCCCTGAAGCCGGGGTTGGGGGAACAAGACATCTAGACGGCTGTGTGAGGTGATGGAGGAGGGTGTAAACTAAGATGCCCCGGATCCCGGGAGGGGCTGAGTCTGAGGGCGCGAATTGGGTTGGATGGGACCAGTGGATCCCTTCCAGAAGGACGGACTGGGACGGTGGGGGTGGGGGTGGGGGTGGGGTGGGGGTGGGGAGATGCAGTAGAGAATGTTGGGTGATAGTATGTTTTTTTGGCTTTGGAGCAGGACGCCTGGGTGTTGGGTCTCAGAGGTGAATGGGGAGAGGGTGTTGAAGATGGATCTGAGGTTGATCTCTGGCTGGGGTCAGAATCCCTGGGACCTTAGGGAAGTTCTGAGTGAAAAGACTGCAATCAGTGGTTCTGAGGAGGTGGAAACAGATGCTTGTAATCCAGATCATTAGGGCATTTGGAAGATGACAGATCAGAACTGAGGCACAACCTTGTAGAGATGTCCTGGATTGGTCTGGAGAAGGGTAGCATCTATCCAAGATCCAAAGGCAGGGCACTTCCCACTAAAGAGAGCCTGGAATGAAGGGCAGTGGTGAGGTGGAGGGGAGGACCAAAAGACCTGGGGAGGGAGTTCAGAACACCTGGATGTTTTCTAAGGCCAGCAAGGTGCCTGGGCTGGAGGCTGGCAACTGGGACCTCAGCATGAAGCTGGAGTCTGTGAGTCTACAAGGCGTCTGGGGAAGATGCAGCTGCTATAGCCTGGACCTGTCCATACCTGCCTCAAGAGGAGGGTGGCAGATTTCCCAGAATGCCAAGTAGCCTGCTTCAGGCCAGCCCCAGCCAGAGGGCAAGGGGGTGTGACTGGCAACTGGAGGGTGGAGGCGGGAAGAGGTCGGTCAAGGATGTCAGGAGTGGAAGCTTGGAACAGTTTAGGAAAGAGAAAGAGGACTGGTATTCCTGGTTTCTAGAGGGGAAGGTGCAGGAAGCGCAGGTTCCTATTTCTAGGCCCCAGCAATCTTTGCCCTCATCCCATTGATCTGGTTTGAAGAAAAGATCTGTTTCTGCACCTGCCAACACACACCAGCTCAAGGGTGAGAGAATGCTGTGGGTGCCAACATCTTGATCTTGTTCTGATCAAGAGGCCCGAGATCTCCAGGGATTATGTGACCTTGCTGCCCACATGTGGCCCTGGGGGAGGATATGGGGTCTCTGGGTCCATCAGAGGAGCTATTCTTGCTCCAAATCTGATCTGTCACTATACCACTGGACTCCAGTCATCAGAAAGCTTGCTTCTCCTTGTCCCTGCCCTTCCTCTTCCCATGTTTTCTCTCCTGGGTGGACTCTGAGACTAAACAAAGGCCATGGTTGAATGGTGACTGAGTTCCCTTTGCCTTCAGCCCTGTCCACCCTTCCACACTTTTCTTGGGAATTCTGTTAGGGAGGTCTCAGAAGAGGGGTTGCTTAGCTTACTATGGGAGGCAGCTGGCTGGAGGGCGGGGTGACCTTGCAGGCAGCTGGTGGGGGGGCAGTGGGGTGAATTCATTATTGATGAGCCCTGCACCCCGGGCTACTAATGAGCCCAGGCCGGCTGCTCTAATTGATGTCAAGAAACTTGAGACCCTCAGATCATTTTCCTGCCTGCCAGCTGCCTCTTCTGAGCCCCCTCCCCCTCCTTATACCCCCAGCTGCTGTTAGATTCCTTCCCTCTTTTCCATCTCCACCAACAGACAAGGAGAGAGCACAGACCTTCTGGCCCCACCCTCATCTTCCTCTGGATCATTTAAGTCTCAAAGTGGGAGGCGTACTTGCTCTGCAGAGTTGGGAGAGGAAACTTAGCTGGGAGTTTGGAGAATTCAGCTCAGGGACAGAGGATGGTACTAGACTATGTATGTGGGATTTCTAAGCCCAAGGAATTCTTTCCTTGAATTGTGTATCCACTGTGTATTGTGTATGGGAGAGACCTTGTCACTCTCAAAAGAACAGGCACCCCACATTGACATACCGGTAACACCAGCCCACTTCCATTCTTCCTTTCCCCCTCACAACAGGAGAAATTTCAGATTTGGTCCCTGAAGTTCGGCTGCTGCCTCCCCACCCCTCTCCCAAGAAGTATGGGGTTTTCTTCCCTGAGTATTTCTAGTGCCTTAGACCATAGCTGTCATCCTTGGAAACACTAGGTAATTCTCTGTCTCACCATTTCTTCCCTCTTCATTTATGGGTTCTGGTAAGACATTCCTGAGGAACAGAATTCTGGATTACAGACTGGATTGTGGTCCAGATGCTCTATCAGGAGGAATATTTTGGTGATGTAGGCACTGCTAAGCAGGAACCTGAGTTAGTAATAGCCCTGCTCAAGGGGGAGACAGAGGTGGGCCTCATAGCCTCCCCCAATTTTCCATAAATTTGTGGCAGTGCTGCCCTCTGGTGGCAACATTCTGATGTAGCCTGACAAGTACATCTGCGTCCTACAACCCTGTTCCTCTTTCCTCTTCTGCATATCAAGATACACCCTGAGGAGAAAATGGGACCCTGGGGGCTCCCTCATGTTGTATGATTTTTTTAAGGACCTGGGGCCTACTGTTGATCTGAAGCCCATTTGGTGAAGAATGAGAGCTTTCACAGTCAGATAAGGCTCTGCCACAGCATGACCTTGGGCAAGTTATAACCTCTGGGTCTGTTTCCCCTTGTGTAAATGGGATTAATAGTACTTACTTTCCAGGATTGATAGAAATTAAATGGAATTGTCTATATAAACTATTTAACACCTCCCCTTGCAACAGCACACAATAGCAAATAAAACAACACAAAAAACTAATTAGCTTTCTTCCAATTTAGTTTCAAGGCTTTTTCCTTTCATTTTATTATTCTGATTTAAGGGAAGTCCAGGTGAGTCTTCTGCACCATCTTCCCCCACCTTCAACTTGGACCTTCCCCTGCTGTATTCTTCCATGATCCTGAAACTCTTCTCCCTTGGAAGTGTCAGGGACCAGATCTGGTGGGGGCTGGGTGAGGGGCAAAGGAGACAAAGCCTTCCTTTTCCTCTTACATCATCTCTTAGTTACTGGGGGGTCACACTCCTGGCACCCAGTGGAAAGAAGCCATGGAAGACAGGCATCTTTTTTGCTCCATCTGGTTCCAGGAGGGGTTTGGAAAGAGGGGGGTGGGATGACACAGATTGCAGGTCTGGTCAGTGGGGGCACTGGGTTGGGTTTATTGCACTTGCAACAGAGTTTAAATAAGTTCCGGGGGTCTGGAGCCAAGGGGAGGTTGGGCAGGGAGAGAGGGGCAGGGTCAGTGCAGCTGGTGGGTAGAACCCAAGTCCTGCAGACCTGGGGCTCCCCTTTTTCTGGGGACTGAGAGAGCCTGCATCTGGCTAGGCTGAGATTCCAGATCGGTTGTCATCATGGCCTCTAGACTCAGGTCTGGAGCAGATCCAAATGCAGTCCTGGATCTGCCTAGATTAGGTTATCAACACCGGAGGCTGGACTTCAGATCAACCCCAGGTCCCAAACTGGATCTGGATCCAATCAAGTTCTGACTCCCCTGGAGCTGGGTCTGGGCCAGCATCAACCTTTGTTTGGGATCTGTCCTGAGCTGGTCCTGGGGCAACATCCACAGTTAGTGTTCCTTGTTGGCCCACCAGGGGGCGGCTGTCGGAGCTGCCAGATCTCATTTCCCAAGTCCCAGGTTCTTAGCTGGGGGCTTCTTCTGGATCTCTGGCAAGGCCAATGATACATCTTTACAGACTGGAGCTGGACAGGAAGTCCTGGTGGCATGTCTGGCCCAAAGAACCACAAGTGGATTCCCTAGTTGTGGTTCCAAGTTTTCAGGAAACTCTCCAAAATACAAAGGCTGCAGAAAGGCTGGGTCTTCTGTCCCTGGATCTGAGTTCCCCCATTCATGAGAGGGTGTGTGTAAACAAGGGTCCTTCACAGTGCATGGTGGGAGGGATCCCTATCTTCTCACTCCCAACCCCCCGGCTCTGGCCCTTCAAGTATGTCTCTGGGCGAGGGAGAGGAGTGTCTCCCTGGCCCTCAGCACCTTCAGGAAGTGCCCAGTCCCCTCTTGGTCAGCAGACAGAGGGTGGGGGACTGGCTCTTCAGGATCAGGAGTCTGGGATCAGGAGGACTCAGGCATCGGAGGTGGCTGGAGGCTTGAGCTGAGCTTTTTCCATGGCAGTGCCGTATGGGAGGGAGCGCTTGAAGAAGCCAAGCTGATGAAGGGGAAAGGAGGGCGCATTTAGGTACCAACACTTCTTCCCAGCTCTGCTTCCAAGAGGACACAGGAGGACTCTTGTGCCTCCAACCTCCCCATCCAGCAAAACTAGCTTCTGAATTCAGACTAAAATACTTCTCCAAGAGGTCCAATAGGCACAAGAGAGCTGAAATCAGGGGTGATTTAATATGGGGGAATCTTTTACCAGTGTCTTAAAAATGCCCCCAGTTAAGCCAGGATGGGCAAAGTCCCCTTATGTCAAACTTTCAACTCAAGTACCAAGACTGATTGCCTAGAAGTGGCTGCTTCTTGAGGATTCTAGGCCACTTTTAGGATATAATCAATTAGTGGTGGCTGCCATGGAGTTTTGGAGGAAGTGACAGTACAAATGCATGTGTTTGCCATCAGTGGGTTGCATTAAATTTGCAATATGGGAACCTTATCATCTTGAGACAAGAGGACTCATTCTAAGCTGGGAGCTATAGGAGGAATGGAAGGGTCCTATGGGAAGGGACAGGATTGGATGCAAATCGCCAGGGTAGAGGTAGGGGAATATTCTGAAAAGCTGAGCTGGAGGTAGATACTGGGGACCATGGATCAAAGGCAGAACCTGATGGGAGGGTGGCCAAGTTATGGGCAGGATGTGGCTGACCTTGTAGAGGACGTAGATGAGCAGACCTAGGAGCAGGAGGCCAAAAAGGATGGCTAGGATAATGATCCACAGTGGGACGCCATTGCTACCTTCTGCCTTGGTCCACTGCACAGCCGTGGTCACCTGGGAAGCAAGTCAGGTGAAGTTACTGAGAACTCACAAATTCTTCCTACCCTACAATTGCCCCTACTTGACACTGGATCTAGCCCTACCTCCCACTTCTCATTTGGAGCTAAGAGCATTCCGAACCTGAAGGTGTAAGTGCCTAAAGTGTGCAATATTGTCTTTGGAGCTTTTACATCTGCTATTCCCTCTCCCCAGAATCTTCCTTTCTTGAATGGTAGCCTGGGTAGTTCCCTCAGTTCTCAGCTTGCACAGGAAGTCTTCCCTGACGTTTTAAGACTGGGTTCAGGTGTTCCCATGAGGTGTTTCCATAAACACCATGGCACTTGGCACACTACATGTCATTGTCTGCTAGTCTGTGAACTCCAGGAGCAGATAGCATGTCCATCCTGCTTACTACTGTATTTCTGGTATCTGCACAGATTCTGACACATAGCAGATGCTCAGTAAATACTTGTTATAACAAGATTAGTCCTACTCGTATACCAGTCCTAGTTCCAGCACTCTGAGCCTATCTTCCTTGACCTAGACCTTTGGTCTTAGACTCACCTGAAGTTTCTTTTGGGGCAGTTGCCGAGGCAGGATTCGGTAGGGCATCTTCAGGGCTTCGTACACAGCTTCACACTGCAGGCTGAATGGTTGGTGCTCCCGCTGTAGGGAAAGGCAGTCAGGATTGACCCTCTTGGGATCAAGAGGGTGCCCACAGGACTTCCCCATGGTCTGGCTCAGGCTGTAATCTTTCCCTATTTTGGAATCATTCTCTACTGATTCTCTCTTGATGTTTCTTATATGAGATAATAAATGTGAAATTGGATAATGATAACTAAATAACTTATAATCAGATAACTACATGTTCAATAATCTTTTTTTTAATCATTAATGTGGGTTAACACCCAGGACCACGCTTGGTCCATGATGTGTACTCAATAAATGACTGCTTATAACTGTTACCGCATCTCCTGGCCTGTCCACTGTGGTTTCATCTTACCTCACTGTTAGGATCTTTCTACACTGGTTTCCCTTCCACCTATCCTCCCTTCTCTGAATGGGCCAAGAAAGGGAATGGTTTCTCCTACTGTGGCCACAAGGTGGCGCAAGGGACCCATAGCTTGTCAAGACCAGGAGGCAGGAGAGGAGCTGCAGTTCTGGTCCATTCACCAAAGCAGAGGTGGCAAGGGCAGTAGGGAAAAGGCAGGGTCATTCTGGGCAGGCCCAATGGTCAGGGTCAGGGCTGAGGGAAGGCTCCCTCACCTGCAGGAAGGTCTTGGCCCAGATTCGGAAATGCAGTTGCAGAGTTCGGCTCTCTTGCCGGTGCAGTGGCCCGAGCTCACAACGTAGCCTGAAACACTTAGCTTCTGGGCATTTCTGGGAAGAAAGAAGAGGCTTGAGCCCAGAATTCTAACCTTCTCGTGTTTCTTAGAGTCTGAACAGATATTCAACACTTAGGCCCAGACCTCATTCCCACTATGACTTACCAGGACCTGCGGTCCGGAGTGGGCAGAGCTTCCACCTGGAGCTTCACGTCTTTGCAGGTGGTGTGGAGAGCCCTCGGGATCCAACTGGAAGAGGAAAGAGATCATTAGCTGCCTCTCCCACCTCATTACAGCAGCTAAGTCAGCCTGCACCTGAGTCCCAGAGCAGCTCAACCTATTTATCTGCCTCTGTATTGATCCACCCAACTGACCATCTCCCATGTGTAAGACACCAAGCAAACTCGGCACTGAAAATGAAAATAAGTGAAACTCAGGTTTTGGAGTTTACATGGAGATATGTAAATCAGTCATCAGGTCCTGTTCATGCCTTAGGGCTTTTGCACTAGCTGTTTCCTCTGTTCAGAATGCTGTCCCCTGCGTATCACAAGATCCATCCTTTTCTTTCAGGTCTCAAATGAATTAACAGTTGCCTCTCTAAGAGGTTTTCCCTGATGGTGCAACTTAAGACAATCTCCAGTCTTCCCCTAATGTGTTATCTCTGTACTTTCATCACTTTTCAGTACCTGTAATTTTTCTCTTTTTACTTGTTATTTCAGTACCTGTAATTTTTCTCTTTTTACTTGTTAAAAATTTTTTTGACAGTACTTGGGGTTTGAACTCAGGACTTTGTGCTTTCTAGGTAGGTGTTCTCCCACTTTGAGTCATGCCTCCAGAACCTTTTGCTTTATTTATTATTATTATTATTTTTGCTTTAGTTATTTTTCAGATAGCCTCTGGTTTATTCCTGGACCACAATCCTCCTAGTTACACTTCCTGCTTAGTTGGGATGACAGGCGTGTACCACATCCACCTTTTATTGGTTGAGATGGAGTCTCACAAATTTTTCCCCCTAACTAGCCTCCAACCACAATTCTCCTGATCTCTACCCAAGTAGCTGGAATTACAGGCTTCTTTCTATTTTTATTTATTTATTTTTTTATTGTGGGACTAGGGTTTGAACTCAGAGCTTCATGCCTGCAAAGCAGGCGCTCTACCGCTTGAGTCATATCACCAGTCCGTTATGCTCTGGTTATTTTGGAGATGGGGTCTTGTGAACTATTTGTTCAGGCTGGCCCTGAATCCTGATCTCAGCCACCCAAGTAACTAGGATCACAGGTGTGAGCCACCAGTGCCCATCTCTCTTTTTACTTTTTATTGTCTATTGGTTTCCACTAGAATGCAAGCTCTGTGAATACAGAAAACTTGTCAGTTTCATTTGGTACAGGTTTTTCCTGAGCCAAACAGTGTTCAGTTCAGATACCCATTCCACTGAATGTTGTTTTTGAGTAAACACAACATAAACCAGGACAGGTCTGAAGAAGGCTTCCCAGAGGAAGTGCCACAGATCCAGGCTGTAGGAGTATGACAGGAAATAGGGAAGGACGCTTCAGTCAGAAAGGCAGAAATGTGCCAGGCGCCAGTGGCTCATGCCTGTAATCATAGCTACTCAGAAGGGAGAGATCAGGAGGATTGCAGTTTGAAGCCAGCCTAGGCAAATAGCTAGCGAGACTGTATTACAAAAAAAAAAACCTTCACAAGAAAGGACTGGTGGAGTGGCTCAATGTGTAGGCCCTGAGTTCAAACCTCAGTACTGGGGAAAAAACAAAAAAGGCAGGAAGAAATGCAGTGGATGGGTAAAGGTAGATCAAGGCATTTTTTTCCCTCCCAGTCATCTGTGTCTTCCAACCCTTTCCATTGGCCTCCCAGCTTCTCAGCCCCTCAGCCTGGTTGTCTGAGCATGTACTGTGCTAGTGTTCAGGCCCTTACCTCCAGGTCCTGTGAGTTGGGTGGGTAGCTGGTGGTGCAGTTGCTGAGCCCCGTTACCCTGGTCACATAGAGGAGCTGCTGTTCTTTCAGAGCCTGAGGGCAGCTGAGCTCCAGTACACCCCGGCTGATGGAGCTGGGGCCCAGGTTGATGAGCTGAGGGGAAGAGTGTATCACTACAAGGAGGAAGGAAATATTCTGGCTACACTGAGACCCCAGGTCACCATGGCTCCACATCCCTGCTGTAGGGCTCCCATCTCAGGAGTGAAGGACTTCAAGGGACAGATGAAATCTGCTTCAGCCAGCACTTTGTTAGACAGTGTCACCCCTCCTTTTCAAACCACTCAACTGGCTTGTCTTTCCTGTGGCGTATCTCATGGATCCTGTGCACATCACCCACCTGCCCTCCTCTTCCTCTTGGTCCTCACTCTGGTCCCAGCCACTCTCTCTTGCACCATCTCCTCCTTTCCTTTGCAACCCAGGCCCGCCTCTCCACTCCCTCTCCCTGGCCAGCCTCCCCACCTGCCTTACCTCATAGACATGGTGGACAGCAGGACCCACATCCCCCTCCTTCTGAGGCTGGTCTTGGGGATGCCAGTCACTTACTGGGAAGAGCACCACCTCAGGCTTGGAGACACTAAGGAGGAGGGTGGTTTAGAGGAGGGTGGAAGGGACCCCCCTCCCAGAAAGGACCCGCTTTGCCTGGGCACTGACCCGTTAAGGGACACCTGGGCTTGAGCCTCCACAGAGAGTGGGAAGGAGACGATGTTGCTTTGTGAGTTGTTGAGATTCTTGCTGTGGGATGGAGACAGGACCAAGGTGGGGCCAGAGCACAGCTCATAAGAACTCTGCATAGCACCAGGCTCAGCCACCTGCCCCACCCTGATCCCTTCTTCCACCCCCAAATCAGCCCTAGCTTGCCCCACTGGCTCCCTACCTGAGGATCTGGAAGTCAAACTGGATGGTCTTTTTTGTGTCCCGGAGATGAGGGACAGTGAACCGAAGGCCACCCCAGAGCTGCAAGATAGGGAGAGGAAAGGGGATGTTAGAGTGAGCGCTTGCCTTGGTCCATTTCCAGTGCTATCTCCCTATGTTCAGCTATGCTCCAGACTGGCCGATCCCTGTCCTGAGGTCCCCTTTCCCTACAGCGTCCTCCTCTTCCGTCCTGGACTTACACTGGCCCCTGCCTTCATGGGGTTGCCCAGGTCACAAACCAGCAGGCGACTCTGATTCACAGCAAAGTAGTCACAGCTCAGGCCGGAGAAGTTCTGGAGGCGGGTGGGCACAGGTCAGGCTTTGGTGACTCTTCTGGAGCGTGTCCCCCCCAGCCCTTCTTGAGAGTCCCCTCTCACCCGTGGGTGTCTGACGAGTCCTGAGTACTCAGCCTCTGGAGGGGCCGTGACCCGAAGCTCAGCCTCATAGGCACCACCCTCACCCATGTTCTGGGCATGGAAAGTCAGGTTCAATGCGTTCTTGTCACCCAGATACACGTGTTTCTGCTCCCTGGAGGGGACACACAGAATAAGGACACTAGGGAATTAGTCTTTAAACCAGAACAATGGAGCCTAATAATAATATCTTAGTAACAGACCCCAATGGCTGACTTCTAACTCTATGGCAGGCACTAGTCCAAATGCTTTATGTAGATTACTGCATCCAATCCTTCCAAAAGATCAGAGTTATTTCTACTCTACAGATAAAGAGGCTGAGTAAGAGAAGTCCAGTGATTCCCAAAGTCACATAGCTAGTATGTCCCTACTCTGCTTTCTAATGTATTCAGAAAATTCCCTAGCTTGCTTTTTTTTCGGTGTTACTGGGGTTTGAACTCTGGGCCTCACATTTGCTGAGCAAGGCGCTCTACCACTTAAGCCACTCCACCAGCCAGAACTCCCTAGCTTAATGTCAGCCCCACTTACCCATATACTTCCAGCTGTAGGTCAGGCACACAGATGTTGTCTTCTCCGCAATCCAGCAAGATCTGAGCCTGGGGAACAGGGCAGCCTTCAGAGCAGAGTTTCTACTATTTCTGGGCTGTAGGCTCCCCACTCCCTAAGGCCCAGTGCTCAGGCCTCTGTTCTCCAAAGCCCTTCTCCCCACCCTGCCCTCACCTTATCCTCTATCCGGCTCTTGCTCTGGTAATGCAGGACTGGCCGGAGGCCATGGCTGTCCATGGGAGCTTGGGGGTCCAAGGAGAAGTTGAGGGCGATGTGAATTGGGGAGAGTTTGTCTCGAAATTCTGACTCGTTCTGGGGTCGGGAAGAGAGCTGACAGGGTTAGGGGCTCTGGAGACTTGATGGCCCTCTCCTCACCCTCATATCTCCCCTTGTCTGCTCAGGGTCAAATTCTGACCATCCTCATTGCTTCAGAGGCCCTGCAGCCTAGTTCCCAGCGCTCCCCTTCCTCAGATTCCAAGTCCGTCAGGAAAACTTCCCATCTTTCTCCCTTCAGGAAGGGCCTCAGTTCTATGTAGGCACCCACCCTGGCCAGTCCATAACCCACTGTCCTCAGGCCCATACCCTGAGGTAGATCTTCATCTCTCTGCAGTCCTCCCGAGCCCCATTTTGGATAAGCAGAGTTTGGGCCATGGTCGCCTGTCTGGAGGCCAGGAACAGTGCCCGTCGTACCCCTCCCTTCTGCTTCTGCCAGTCCAGCTGGAGCTCCACCGTGAATCCTGCAGCCAGGGACACAGAAGGTCTGAGAATCTGCCTTTCCCTCCATCTCTAGTCAGTGAGAAGAAAGGTGCCCAGGTCCCCAGTCCCTCTATCCTGTCCCAGGGCCTGAGAGATCCAGGCAGTCTCACTCACCAATGGAGTTGGGAACGTGTTTTCCAGAAGCATTGAGGCAGAAGCTAAGGTTGATGCTGGAGAAAGACCAAGAAGAAAGCCGGTGAACACAACTGGGGCCAGCATTCTATCTTCTACCTACCTCCCAGACAGACCCAGACTAAGACAGCCCCATTTGTCCCTTCCTAAGGCAGACATGACCCCCTGCCTGCTCCCAGGCTCAGATCTCTGCAGTCTCCTCGTCCAGCTCACCAGGCCACAGGGTTCCCCTCCAAGCTGCAGCTGCGCTCCTCTGGGTTGAACATGGCTGGGAAGATTGTAAGGGAGGCACTGGCAGACACGATGGGGCGACCTCTGCCAACAGCGGATGTGGAGTAAACAGAATTAGGACTCCTCTGAGGGCTAGGCACAGGAGCATGATGCTCTAGCCCCAGGATGCCAGTTCCCTTTTGTTCTGACTTTCCCAACTTTAGATGCCTCAGTGTCCCCTGGAGTTCATACCTGTATACCACAGCCTTGTCCACACCAAAAGACCCCACAATCAGATCTGCAAAAAGTTAAGAGACCTCCCATTACAGCAAGCTTCAAATTGGGATCCTTCCTTCCTAACCAGTTTCATTGATCAAGGCTAAAGTGAGGGGACTGCACCATCTGGTGGCAACATTCTAGAACTACTGCATCCAGGAATTTGGGAAAGGTGAAGAACAGGTGTGCAGGGGTGTGTGTGTGTGTGTGTGTGTGTGTGTGTGTGTGTGTGTGTGTGTGTGTGTGTGTGTGTGTGTGTGTGTGTGTGTGTGTGTGTGTGTGTGTGTGTGTGTGTCTGTGTGTGTGTGTCTGTGTGTGTGTGTGTGTGTGTGTGTGTGTCTGTGTGTGTGTGTCTGTGTGTGTGTGTGTGTCTGTGTGTGTGTGTCTGTGTGTGTGTGTGTCTGTGTGTGTGTGTGTGTGTGTCTGTGTGTGTGTGTCTGTGTGTGTGTGTCTGTGTGTGTGTGTGTGTGTGTCTGTGTGTGTGTGTCTGTGTGTGTGTGTGTGTGTGTGTGTGTGTGTGTGTGTGTGTGTGGCGGGGGGATAGTGACCAGGGAATTCTAAGGTGAAAGGAACCTTGGACACAACTCACCAGGGTATCCATTGCCATCCAGGTCTCGGCCTCCTTGAACAGCAAAGCCAAAGAAGTCTGGGGTATGGCCAGCTGCCCACAGGGTCTGCAGAACCTGGGAAGGCTTAGAGCCCAGACCTCCTGGGCCCCCAAGAAACACAAACACTACTCCCTGCTGGGTCTCCCCACCAAAGGGAGCCCCAATGGCCACATCTGCAAGACATATAACACACATCCGTCAGCAGGCCAGGAATCCAGTGGCCAGATCTCAGCCATCACACCCTGGATTTGGGATCCTATCTTTTTCTCATTTGTCAATCCCTGTGTTTTAATCTTTTCAAATCCCAGCACCCACATAGTTAAGTTAATGTTCACACTTCTCCTTGGAAAGGCATGGGGAAGGTGTCCGGATATCTTAGCTGACAGACCCCACTCCCAAATCCCTCCTGACCCAGGCCTCCAACTCATCCTAATTTCCCTGAGCCCACAGTGCTTACCATTGTAACCATCCTGGTCCAGGTCCCCCAGTGGTGTCAAAGAGCTGCCAAACCGACCAAACTCATCATGGCCGGTAAGGGTAAGGGTAGGTGTGGGCTCCATGCCAGCTGGGTGCTGTAGGTAGACGTAGACCCTGCCCACCTCCTGAGGCCTCCCATCGGCAGTCCGCTCCATAAGAAGGGGTGCCCCCACTATCAGGTCATCCAGCCTGGGGGAGAAGGGTAGACCCAGGCATCCTGACACACTGTCTTGCCATGTCTCCCAGACCTAATGCCACAAATGCCAGGCATTCTGGATCACCAGGCTCCTTCCCACCCAGGTGAGAAGACCCAAGGGCTCTGATTTAGCTCTCAGCTCTCTCCTTGTCTTTAAGCAAGGGGAATGAAAGTAAGAGTGAGGATCCAGAGGAAATGCCCTGGAGAAACACTGCTTGCATTCTGTCCCATCCCATTTCCCTCCTAGACCTGGAAAGGACATCACAGAGAGCTCCTTTCTGACTACTTACCCGTCCCCATTGATGTCGGTAGCAGCCACGGCATAGCCAAAGTAGGAGGCCATCTGGGGGGCAGAGAAGGGGGCAACACTGGATCAGAACAAGGTGGGGTCAATAAACAGGACTGAGACTGTGAGCAGAAGTTCAGAGGCTCTAGGGAGTTCAGGAAGTTTGACATCTTTGGGTCAGGGCTGAGGGTTGGTTGGCAGAGGACCAAGCTGGGATGGGGAGTTCTCACCTGTTCCCCTGAGAAGTTGTAGAGGGATCGGATGTCTGAGCCATTGAGGATGGTGACCTGGGGATGAGGAGATAGGCCTCTTGGTCCTATGTGTCCCATGGGTGAAGGATAAATGAGTGCCTGGGGGCAGGCCTTCCTCAGAGACACTGGCTATTCATCCCTACTCCCTCCTGAGCTTCGCCCTTCCACTCCCATCCTACTGCCTCCAGCTGACCATTTACCATTTTTCTCCACATCACTTATCAACTACTGACAGATTAACATTTATCTGTTTGGTATCCATGTCTACCTACCAGAAAATAACATCAGTGGTGCAGGAGCTTGGGTTTGTTTTTGCTTCTCCCCAAAGCCTAAAGTAGTGCTTGGCAAGCAACAGACGCTCAATAAATTGGGAGTGAGTGGTAGAGTGCTTGTTTTGCAAGCACAAAACCCTGAATTCAAACCCCAATTCCACCAATAAGAAGAAGAAGAAGTGAATGCACACTGGGGTCTCAAACCCTACATGTTCCAAACCTAAGTCATCCCAACTGCCAATACCCCAAACCACAAACACTCAATGTCTCCTCTATGTTCTCCCCTAGCCACTGCCTCTGCCAGGTCCCCAAGTCATTTGGATCCACTCTTGCTGCTGTGACTCTGGTGTGAGTCCTCCCCGGGACTGCTAGACATCCCCTCTGCTGCTGTCACCCTCCCTCCAATGCAGTAGACTGCCTACCCCAGAGAAGATCCAGGATGCTTATCTCTGTCCTGGATAAGCAGGTTCCCTGTGGTTCCCTGCAGCCTCTGCCCAATCTCAGCCTCTTGGCTGGCCCTACTCATCTGTGTTTGCTCAGTCTTTCCTTACTTTCCTGTTCTTCTGTTCATGCTCCTGTCTAGTATGCCTTCTTGCCTCATCACTGCTGATCCTTCACAGAACCTTCTGTGATCCACCCCTCTCTGGAAAGAGGTTATTCCTTCCATCAAACTATTATATCACCTTGATTGCTTTTCTGAAACGTATCATGGTGCAAAAGGGCTGGAAGTGTGGCTCAAGAGGTACAGTGCCTGCCTAGTGAGCACAAGGCTCCGAGTTCAAACCCCAGTCCCACAAAAACAAATGAAAACCAAACTTATCATAGTGCAAACAGAATGCTGATTTTGGAATAAGGTAGACTGGCTTTAAATCTATCCAGCCACTTACTAACTGGGTGATCTTATGCAAATTACTTGGCTTCTTAGGATCTCAGTTTTTCTCATATGCAGAATGTGAATGAGAATATCTATCCCATAGACTTGTGGTGAGGAACAGCAACATGGTCAGCGCATGGAGCAGAGGGGCTCATGAATTGCCCCTCCACTAACATGAGAATTGTATGTGTCTTATCTTACTTATTTGATTAGAAAGTACCTTATGAGATGGAGTAAGATGCCTTCTTCATCATCTTATCTTTACCTCACCTTAATAAATGTTAACCGAACAGATGTGTATGGTACCCTTATCTAACAGGCACTTGTCACTGTCTAATAATAACAGCTGCCTGTTGCACACTGCCTAACAATTCACTAAGTACTTTCATAGGCACTATCTCATTTCACCTTTACAAGAGCCTCGTGAGGTCAGAACTATTATTATCCCATTACATAGAGAAGAATGGGGCTTAGAGAGGTTGAGCAGGAAGCAGGATAGGAATAATGAACAGAATGACTTATCCAGATAAGTACCAGAACCTGAACCCAGGTCTGACTCTAGAGCCTGTGTTCTGATCTAGCTTTTGAGCGCCCACAAACTGCCATGCATAGTTCTTTCTACTTAGCCAGGGAAGGAAGGGGGAAGCTGGGCTGGGTCTTACATAGCCATAGGTGAGGTTCCCTTTGGGCACACCAGTGACAAAGTCTGCAGAGAGAAGAGACAGCTGTGGGTTAAGGTGGGGGAACGGGAGCAGCAAAATGGTGCGTATCTAAGTACTGCAACCCCTAGGACCTGGCTCTCTGTCCACCCCTCTGCTGGCCCAGCCTGGGAACACACTCACCTTCTGTGTCATCACCACTGAATTCACCAACAGCCACAGAGTATCCTGGGGGACAAGTGGGTAGATGTTAGCATTCCTGCCTCAGGGACTCTTTGACTTGGCTCCCCAAACCCTTCATAAGTAGTCTGCACATGACAAGAATGGCAGAAGGAGGCTGGGTGCCAGAGGCTCACGCTTGTAATCCTAGCTACGGAGGAGGCAGAGATCAGAAGGACTGAGGTTTGAAGCCAGCCTGGGCAAATAGTTTGCGACACCCTATCTCAAAAATACCCATCACAAAAAGGAGTGGCTCAAGATGTAGGCCCTGAGTTCAAGGCCCAGTACTGGAAAAAAAAAAAAAAGGGCTAGGGTACCCAAATGGGAGAAGTAGGCAAGAGTGTGAGTAGAGATAGGGGCCCTCGAGTTCTCCCCTGCCACCTCTCTCCACCTGCTCACTCACCTAGGTAGCTGTCATCATAGATGGAGCTGGCCTGGCGGGTCTGCAGCTGCCCCTGAACCAGGTTGATCAGGTATTCAGGGTAATAGGACTCTGCAATCTGCTCCTGAGTGGCCGACAGGATCTGGCCTGGGGAGGAGAAGCAGAGAAATGGTGGAGAGAATGTGGCAGAGGGACTCTGGGGAGAATTTTAGAGGTCTGGCTCGGGAAAGGGAAGTGCGTGGAGGGTGACAGAATAGGATGTGTGAGTCTGAAGCGAGAAGAACAAAAACTGGAAGGGATGAGGAGGCAGACGTGGGGAAGACTGGTGACTCCAGGTTGGGAGTGGGAATAGGAGGCTGGTGCCAGGGCCCACGGGAGGGTAGGGAGAAGGACTTACCTTGCCAGAAATAGCTCCCTGGTCCACCCAGGACCACACGGCCAGTCTGCAGGGGGAAAGAGATGAGTTCAACATCTGCTCCTGATACCATGCCCACACCCACCTCTCCTTCTTTCCCATCACCCTCTTACCTTGGTGAATTCAGCACTGAAGCCCCCTTGGCAGTAGCCCTGTCCTGCAGCCCAGCTGAAATCTGTGTGGGGAGAAGGAGGTGAGAAGGAGCCGTACACAAATGGGCCAGCACAAAAAAAAAGCGTGAGGTAGGAGGAGGAGAGGGAACCAGAGAAAGAGCCTCCTGGAGGCCAGAGGGAGTCAACTCAGACCACATGAGACCCTCCCATGAGAAGGCAGACTTGAGGCAAATGCCCTCTCTGGTCCCTACCTGAGCGGCAAGGTGCATACTCTAGAATTCGGGTGAAATTGTCTGTGGAGAGGTAGCAGGTGCCCACGGGGTCACTCAGCGGCTCTTTCTCTGTGCGCCAGCTATATAGAGGAGCACATGCCTGAGAGAGCCCAGGAGGAAGAGCTTCAGGTTTAGTTCAGCAAGGCCCCTTGTCCCTCCCTTCAGGCTTGGCCTTATTCAACTACTGCCCATCCTCTAGCCACCACACCACTGAGCCCCCTAATTCCTCACCAAAATGGAAGAGCCATGGGCTCGAACTGTTGCCCCAAACCACTGCAAGGACTTATATTCCACAGGCTCCTCTCCTTCGGCACTGGACAGTGAGGACTCCAGGATCCGGGAGCCTTGGGAGGTGAGAAAGGGGAGTCAAATCATTTTGGGCCTTGGGCAGCTGAGCTCCAGGGAGGCCCCCAACCCCAGCTTAGGGATACCCAGCTTCCAAGCTCTAAGCCCTGAGCCCCAGTGACCAGGAGAGAGGGAAGTGCGGAAGGGTCTGCCCTCCTGTTCCCTCTAAATACATACATTCACTCTTCTGGGGTTTCTAGAGTTGCCTCCCCTTGGCTGCCCCTGCAGTGGGGTGGGGGCAGGAGGGTGGTGGAGAAGAGTGACTGTTTCTCAGACTTCTGTCTGTACCTGGTCCTGTGCCTCCAAAGCATCTTGTTCATTTCCTTTCTAGACCTTTGTTTCTTCTTTCTTTCTGAGCCTAGTTTCGGTCTTCTATGACTTTCCTCCTTCCTCTTTCTCGCCTTCCCTTTTCCCCCCTCCTTCCTTCCAAGACAGAGTAGAGTCTTGCTATGTAGCCCAGGCTGGCCTTGAACTCAAGATCCTCCTGCTTCTGTCTCCCAAGTGTGGGATTACAGGCCCATGCCACCATGCCTGTCATTATCACCTTTCTCATTCCTCTGATTCTCTTCTTTTAGGCTTTTAAAAATTAGTCTGTTTAGGAGTGGGGCATGCACAAGGCCTTGGATTTGATCCCCAGCATCCCCATGCTCAAATCAGTCCGTTTCATAGGTTTTTTTTTTTTTTAATTTTTATTTTTTATGGTACTGGGGTTTGAACTCAGGACCTCAAGCTTGCTAGGCAGATGCTCTATCACTTGAGCCACTCCGCCAGCCCTGGGTTGGGTATTTTTGAGATAGGGCCTTTCAAACTACTTGTCCTGGCTGGCCTTCAATCTCAGTCCTCCTGCTCTTTGCCTACTGAGTAGCTAGGATAACAGGCATGAGCCACCAGTGTCTGGCATGTTTTTTTTTCAACAGGGTTTTGCAGGTCTGGAAATACGGCTCAAGCAGCTCAAGCAGTAGAGTGCCTGAATAGCACTGTCAAGCCCTGAGTTCAAACTCCAGCACATCTATCTATCTATCTATCCACACATATATACACATATGATATAAACAGGGTCTCGCTATATAGCCCAGGCTGTTCTGAATCCTTCCAAATGCTGAGATTATAGGCATGCACCACTGTCTTGTTTCACATTTCTTATCCCTATGGCTTCCACATTGTTATACTCTCTTCTTCTTGTCTCCTCACCCCAATCTTTACCTCTGGAGACAGACTGCCCAAGTTCATATACTTGCTCTACCTTTTACTAGCTGTGAAACCTTGGACAAGTGACTTAACATTTGCTTCCTCACTTATAAGATGAGGATAATAATACCTCATAAGTTGTTGGAAGGATTAAGTGAACTAATGGATGTGAAGTGCTCACAACAGTGCCTGGCATACAGCAAGTGCTCTTTGAGTGTTATCTGTCAGTCTGGGGACTGAGGTCCCCAATGGCAGTGGCGCGTCATCTTTCAGTGGTATGAACTGTCACTCAGTCAGTGCTTAGTTAAAGGAACTGAATCGTCTGTGAGACTCTCCCTGTCTTTGTCTGCGTTGTTATGGCCCTGGCCTCCCCGGGTTGTGGGTGATTCAGTGGAAATGAGAGCCACATGTTTCTGAATCATGCCCGCCCTCCTTGGGCTGGGCTGGGAACGTGGAGTGCCATGGGGAGTCACTGCTCCGAGCTGCAGTTCCAGAGCTGCTGCTGGGAGGGCACTTGGCTGCAGGCTGAGCAGCCTGCATCCCTTGCTCTAAGTCCCACCCAGGCCCCACCCCCAAGCTGCAGTCCCACCGACCCTCAGGCACTCCCTGAACACCACTAGCCTACCTTTGCTGTCAAATTCAATAGGCGTGCACTGTGCAGGACTGGTGCCCCAGGGACAGATGTAGACAGCACCACCCTGCAGCACTCCTGGCTGGCTGGTGTTAGCTTTGGGCGCCCCCACCAGCACACTGACCCTGTGGAGGGGAGAGGAGAGGCAGTTTAGAGGGGCTCCAAGCTCTTTGTCAGTCTTTGCAGGCAGGAGGGACCCAGGCTTCTGGTCCTGGCTGGCTGGGGGTGGGGTAGATGCCCCCTGGGTTGTATTTATATCTCAGAAGATGCCACAGATGCCAGAGGCCTGGGCTGGAGTCAGGCGGTCCCCATGTGCCGCTGTCACTAACCCAACTCCTCCCCTCCTCCCATCACTCCTCTCTTACCTTTCCCTGTTAATAGAGAAGGGCAACCAGAATCAACTCCTGGAGGGAGAAGAGGGGCCAGTGGGCCTGAACCCCAGTTTCTCCATCTCCTCTATCTACCTACCAAGGTTAGATATACAGCCCAGTTGGGGGTGTAGCTCAGTAGTAGTGTGTGCTCAGCATGTGCAAAGCCCTGGGCTGATCCCCAGCACCAGAAAAAATCAAAAACAAAAACAAAAACACCATAACACTCAAATGCAACATGTGGCCTTTGATTGGAAATTGAATCAAAATGTTTTTTTTTTCTTAAAAAGGGACAATTTAGATGTACAGCCCCTGGAGCCCCTGGTTTCTCTGGAACCTCAGGGTCCTCTCACCCAGCCCATGTCCTCTCCTCCCAAGCCAAATCCCTTCCCTGGGCTGAGACCAGGCGTCCAGCACTGGGTTGCTCAGCCTTGGGGCGTGTAGGAGGAAAATGTGAGTCTTGGAAATCAGGCAGTAGAATTGGAGAGAGGAGCTGGAGGGTGATGAAAACAGACTGTTCCCCTGGGCCAAGGCCTGCCCTACCCTGGGGCCCTTCAGTGGACCTCACCTTCCTCTCTGGGTCTCTGTCTCAGCCTTTGAATCCCTTGAATATCAGCCCTAGAAGACTGAATTTACTACTTGGTATTCGTCCTGGACATGTGGCTCAGTTCTCCCCAGAGGAAAAGTTTGCCTCTGACAGGGTCCATACCATGGGGTGGTGGCAGCTAATATCCTGGGCAGTTTTCCTGCTTTCAGTTTGGCCTCTACCATCCCTGGGTCCCTTGCCGCCAGGGCTTCCACACAGCCCTCAGTTCTCTTGGCTTTCTTCTCCAGGGTCTCCTGCAAGGACTCCATCTGGCAGCCTGGGCAACTTGCCCTGGCCTCTGGGCCAGTTCCCTGCTAGACTTGGCCTCTGTTTGCCTCCTGTGTCTGCCTCTGGCACTGTTCCTCAATTTCTGTCCCTCTGCCCCTAGGACTGCTTGCGCTCTTGGTTTAAGATTTTGGGTCCTCTCTATCTCTTGATCTGAAATTTTAGGTTTCTCCACTTCTACTGGTTTCTGTCCCCTTTCAGCTTTCAACATTCCCAATATCCGCGTCTTTCCTGGTCTAGGAGAATCTTCTTCAGTCTTTCTCACTAAGAAAGAAGGCCCAAGAGGGGGATTTTGGTAGAGGTCACAAAGGCTGGGGATGTCTTCCAAGAGGACCAGGTATATTGAATGGGGAGAGCTAAGGTCCAAGAGGAATGGGATGGGAACACGAGGGAGAGCAGGCCCAAGGGTACTAAAGCAGGGTATGTGTGTGGTGGGGGCAGGGTGTAATGAACCCCAAAATTTGAGAATGGGGAGAGAAGACAGGGTCTGGAGGAATAGGAGGGGTGATGCAGGAGAGGGAGTTCCTGAAATTATGGGGGGCCTGGAGAGGGAGGTACCAGCTTCAGTTACCCTGGGGACAGGAAATGTTTACTGCCTGTGGCTTCCTGTCTGTTTCCAACCTCTCACTTCTCTGTTTGTCTCCCACCAACCAAGCCCCACCCCCTCTCACTCAGGCATTGCCCACCAGTTGAGGGGTGGGAACCAGCCACAGCAAAGACCCAGTGATATGCTCAGTTGGGAATTGATTCCCTGGGGTGAGGCTGATGGCAGTGAGAAGCTGCATGGCCCCGGGGCTGGGAGAGGAGAGAGGAGTGTGGCCTTTCTAGAGAATGTGGCTGATGCCCTCAGGCTCCAGAAAGCAGAAAGGCCACCAACCCTACCAGACCACTGGACAAAGAAGCTAGCTCAGTGTGGACTTGGGCACAAGTCCCTGTCCCTTTTTTCAAAGTCCCTTGGAACACAGGGCTGAGATCAAGGGACCCTATTCCTACCACCCTGTTTCTCCAGCACAGCTTGCTCTTGCATAGGAGCTAAGCCTGAGACTCCTGGCATGGTCTGGAGAGGAAGTGTGGAGTTTAGCAGGACTGGGAGGTATAAGAGTTCTTAAAAAGCTTATGAAGCCCATAAGCATAGACCACGGGCATACCTACTCTGGCTGTGAGAAGGCTCAGAACACCTGCATATAGACAGGCGACACAGATCCAGATCTGCCCCCACTACCCATGGCTTAAACCTGAGGAGATTCAGTGTCCCACCCATCCCAGCAGCCCCAAGTCAACACAACACATAGTGCTGCCCATGTCAAGTGCCAGAGAGGCATGTAAGCTAGCTTGCCCTTCTTCACCCTTCTCTGGTTCCTGGTTCTTAAATCCTGCAACAATTAGGTCCTCCTGAGGGTCCAAGAAGGTAACAATAGAGGGTCTTTGGGACATTTTCAAAATTTCAGAAAGTCTAACGGAAATCATGCATTTACCTGATAAGGCAGCCCAAGCTAATTAAAACTTCAACTATATTTGCTTTTGGCTGGAATGATAACTCTTGTGGGGAACCTGGTTATCTCATGCTGGTCAGAATCTCTGATTGGCAGCTATATTTCCGGTCCATGAAAAACGAGAAGGTAATTAATTATTCCCTACTAAATGTAGTTTGGCAGAAAAACTTCAGAAATACAGTCCAAGAAAAAAATGATTGCCATAATTTATTTTGAAGCCTCAGAAGCCTGAGATTCTAGATTAGTCCCTGGAGACAGACTGCCACAACTAGAAGACACCGCAGAGAGCCTCCACTGGTTTTAAGACTGATGTACATGCCGTAGGGTGGCCATATGCAGTCAGCACCACCTGCCAGCTTGATCTCCACACTCCTCCAGAAGTCCCAAACTGCTGACCTAGTCCTGCGTCCTCATTTAACAGATGGGAAGACTAACTCTGAGTGAAGTTAAATAACATGCTGAGGGTCACCCTGAATCCTTCCCAGCATAACAACCAGAAGCTTGCATTCTGGCCTACTCCGCTGCCAATTCATCGTCCTCTTCTTCATTATCTCCCCAGCCAGACTTCTGATTAACCAAGTCCCCGTTCAATACTCAGTTACTGTTTGACTCCACTGGCTGGACAAGGTCAGGATGCATAGCAGCAAGTTGACATGGCCGAGCTTGTGCCGGTTCTGTAGCAGCACCAGCCAAGCCAGAAAGGGACACCTGCTTCTGGAACCCAAAGTACATTAACAATATACCTGGTTGGCTTGGGAGGAACAGCTGCCTCTAGCTGATCAAGGATCTGAGCAGAGACTGGTTCACTTCCAAGCATTTAAGTGTTCTGGGCCATGTCATTTCTCCTCTTTACACCTTAGATTCCCTCCCTAAAAAATGATGGTCTGTGAATGGTCCCTAAACTAACTTCTAGTTCTAAATTTCTATGACCCCTGACGCTTCACTTTTCATTTATCTAAAATGGGGCAATAATGCTTTCTCTGGCCAACACAAGGGTTTTTGTAACAATCCAATGGATAATTTGATATGAAAGTGAAAACCAGAACCAGAAAACAGCTACCCCGTCAAACTTAAGCTTCCCATGTACTGATCACCCTCTGTGGGCAGATATCATACACTGTGTGTATATATATATAAATTGTCTCATTTGGTCCTTAGAATAAGTTGGGCGTCTGATGTTCATGGGAAGTCCAGACTCAAAGGGCTTAAATCCCTCCAGGCCACAGTTCTTTAAATAGTGAGGACACACCCAGGGCTACCTGGCTTCAGGCTTTGTCCCTTCCTGCCATCCTTTGGTGTGTTTTCAATGTTCTCCTGGAGAGGTGATGCAGGAGAGAGCAGCAGTACTGAGGTCCTCCCTCTCTTGCTGTAGCCCTAGTTGAGGCTATGCTGTCTCCAGTGAAGGGGAGGGGGTTGAAGGCCCAGCTGTGGAGGGAGACTGTTGTGAGTGCTACTCTAAGAAGGTCTCACACAAAGGAAAGGAGAGGGGGAGGAGTGCAAGCTGGACACCTGGGTTCTCTTGGGAGGGCAGATGAGCAGAATGGAAAGGGAAGGGGTGAGAACACTGGGTCCTGTTTTAGAAGGGGGCTTCAGGGACTATAGGATCAGGCTAGGGGCCAGAAGACACTTAGGGGACCAGGAGTGTGTCAAAGTCCAGATGTTTTAGAGGAGTCTTTTAAACGGGAAATGACAGTCTTGCATGGGATGGAGTGGGGGTAAGGGAAAGGTTAAAAGCCAGAACACTGGATACTGTGCTAGGGGGAAGAGACCACCATCCCCTCCTTTCTACTACATTAGGGTTGTAGTAAGAAGTTTGAAGGGGGCCTGGGGAAGGCAAGGCCTGGCAGGATCTCTAGGCCAGGGTGATGCAATGGGGTCTGGGCAAGAGGCCAGGGGGGGTGGGGTGGGGGTTGGGTGGGGACCTTGAAAAGCCCAGATCTAACAGCTGGGGCCTAACCATCTTTCTCTTTCCCATCCCTAACTTCCCCAAACAAGGGAGAATCTGCCCCTCTCTTCAACTGAATTAGGTAGATTAACTCCTTCTCCCTCCAAATAATTAAAGAGAGTAGAGATAAATTAACTATCACATGCAAAAACTGCTCACCCCAGACAGAGGTTCTATCAAACTCTGGGAGGCTCCAAGTTTAGAGGTGAAGGAGAAAGAGAACTACAGCTGTCATTGTGGGGGATTAGGAATCTGGCATCTGGGGTCCCTGGCCCAGAGCAGAAGCAGTCACCTTCTTCTTAGTTTTCACCCCCCACACACACATTTAAACACTCTGGTTCCAATGTGCCTTTGGCTCTAATCCCTATTTCCTCAAGCCTGTGGGCAAACCCACTTTCCAGGCACTCAGTATCTGGGTCTGCTTGTCATCCTGATGAATTAGGATTAAGGATCCTTCTTTGCAATTTTCAGGGTTCTTAGGACCTTGGTTCTAATGCTCTTGGGCCCGAGGGAACCTGTGTCTCCCCAGCTTCCGACCCCAGCCCCAGAAGTCTCGGCCTCAGTTCAGCTCCAGCCGACAAGCTACAGGAAATCAGCTTTTCTCTTCCTCCCAAGAGCTAAAGGAAGAGGGAAACCACCCACCCCCTTTCAAGCGCGCACACACACCCCTCCCGACACATCCGTGCACCCGCCCAGGCTCAGACCGCCCCCAGCTCCAGCGCCCCCACTGCCAGGGTCCTGGGACTCTACCCAAATCCTAGGACCCCCTAGTCTGAACAGATTGGGGGTGGAAGGCGGAGCAGGAGACCGAGGAGAAAGGGGAGGGAGCCGCCGTCTCCCTCCCCGGTTTTTCCTTAGTCTGAGTTAAGGGGGGGAGGGGAAGATGAGGCTAGTCCCCATTTAACCTTCCGACCCCCTCAGTCTGTCTCCCCTCTTACTACACATAGCTTATCCAACTTCGATGCGTTTCCTCTCCGCACAATGGCCCCATGGATCCTGAGGTCCTCTCAGTGCCCCGCCAAGCCTTTCCCGGCCTCCGCGCCCCCTCTCCGCCCCCATCCGCCTCAGGTCCCCGGCAGCCCACAGATCTCAGTCGGAGTCCCTCTCAGCTCTCCATTGCACACTCTCTTCTCTCGTTTGGCCTTGAGACTTCTGTCCGGACTTCTCCAGCTTCTAGCTTCGTGCCCTCTCTCCACCGGACACGTCTCCCCACTGATTGCTCTCAAAGTCCAGGCCCCTCCACGCCGGCCACGGTACCCTCCCTGCCCAAACGCGGGCCCCCCAACTGCAGCCCTGGTTCTTCCAAACTCTGCCTTCAAACTGGTCCCCTCCAGATCCCAGTCGCGTCCACAGTCTCCATGCGGCTCCCCGTCCCCTATCCGGCCGCCAACCCTCGCCACTCACCCGTCTGTTCCCGGCCGGTAAAACTCTACCGCGAAGCCGAAGAAGGAGCCCGGGGGCCCGGAGAGCACTGCTGGGGCCTCCGAGTCTAAGTTGAAGCCCCCGACCCTGGGTGGTGGCGGCAACAGCAGCAGCAGCAGAGGCAGCAGCGGGGGTCCGCGGCGAGAGCTCCAACGCAGCTGCACGGCGTGGAGAGGGGACCGTGGCGTCCTGCTCCCCATAGCGCCCGTTCTTCCCTGTCCTGGGGCCACCGACCCGGAGCCGCTTCCTAAACCTCCCAGAGGCGAATGACTCAACGCGGGGAGGAGTTTGCCAAACTCCCGGCTGAGCCCTCCCCCCGCCTGCCTAGGGGACTGGCGGGGGGGCATTCCTGGGTCCTCGGAACGCCGAACCCGCGCCCCCCACCCCGAAGGGGCGTGGGGGGGCCGCACCTCTCCACCCCCTTTCCCCAGCCCCAGCTGGAGGCCGGTTGTCTGGCCTGGGTCAGACTGGGCGGGCTTGGGCTCTTCCCCCTCCTCCTCTCCGCTTCCCCTCCTTTCTCCCCCTCCTTTCCAGATGTACAACGTAAACGCTCGGAAAAGGAGTCGGAAAAAGGGAGCGGAGAATTTCCTAATGAGGAAAGGAATCACCTCTGGAGGGCGGAGGGAGCCCGTATATTGTATGTGGGGTCTCTCTCACTTCTTCAGGAAGAAGACTTTGGGGTCTAAAAAGGCTGGAGACTCCTCTGGCGGCTGGCCAACTGGGATTCCCCTTTGCCTTCCGGGGCCATCGGGTGCCTGGGTTCCGGCCAGCTGGATTTGGGACTCTGCAGTCGAGGTACAGAGTGCTTGCAATCAGCCTGACAGAAGACCTACGCTAGCTCCTAGAGTTCCTGTCTCTCTCGTCCCCCTCCCCCTCCAAACGGCTAGAATTGAAAACCCAGGAGTTTGGGTCGCTCACCAGCACGACTCAAACTCTGCCCCAGTTCTTTAGCTTTCTTGGTTGTAGGCTATGCATAGAAATCTCTGTTTAAGCCCCTTCCTTGGATCTAGGAGTGACCAGGAGCCTGGAAATGCTTGGCCCGTCCCTTACTGCCTTCATCAAACCGGCCGGATTTCCTACAAGCCTGGAGAATTGTGCGGGATGGTAATGGTGGTGGGGGTGGTGTGTGTGTGGGGGTATCTTCAAAGGGGCCCAACTTTCAGTTTCTGTTGGCCCTAAACTCTGGGAACTGGAATCCAGCTCCCCATTCCCCCCACATCTGTGGAAGTAGAGGAAGGGGCTGTAGAAGTGATGGCAGTGACCCCCTGCCCACCCCTTCCCCCACCTCTGGCTCTGAATGATGAGATCACCTTTCAGGATTCTAGTCTTTATCTTAGTCTGGGGGAGGGGGGTGGAGGGGCCTAGACTCTCGCCTAACCCCCTCTCCTTTCCAGTATCTTTCCCACATTTTCCCTCCAGGGCTTCTTTTCTTCCAGAATAATACACCTTAAAGTTAAACCCTGCCCCTCTCTCCCTATCTTCTGCTCCACTCTTCTCTGGAAGGGAGAGCGGTCAGAAAAAAGTGCCCAGACTCAACAGTTTTCTCCCTGCCATATTCTTTCCCTCACTCTGTCATTCTGTTACTCTGCTTCCTGTCCCAAGTCACCCAGCTAGATGTTCAAAAGCCCCTCTCCAGAGCCAGCAGCTAGGGAAAGGCTGACTGGGCAGATGGGGGGGCGGGGGAGGTGCTGGCTTATGTCCCACTCTAACATCTGCAGGTCCTAACCCTTTTTTGGGTGAGAAACCCAAGGAATCTGTGGGTCAGGATCTTAAGCACAGCAGTGCCCTAAGGTAACCACTAGTAAAAACCAGCTCAGGGGCTGGGAACCCCCTTTGGGAGGAGAACCAAGACCTGACTGCCATAGAGCCCAGCAAAGCCCATGTATGTGAATGAAGTTCTCGCCTTTCTCAGCCAGGCTTTCTTTAGATTTTCCCAGGATTTGGGAGTTTGGGGTGGGGAGGGGTGTGGAGAAGGAGGTGTGTGACTCAGCTCCTTCCAGGAGTCTTGGTGGGGGACAGGGGACATAGTGTCCTGCCCCAGTCCTCCCCCCTTCCCCCCAAGCCTTGGCCAATTCAAACAGGCTCCCTCCCTGTCCATTCCCTGCTCCTGTTTACACGGGAGCCCCTTAGTCATTCTCTGGCTGGTTTTTCTACTCTCCCCAATATCCCTCCTCTCTTGGCTCTCTCTGCCCTTATAAGTCCTCTCCCAGTGGTCCCAACACCTCCTGCTTTCCCTCTGGCCATGCCTGTCTTTGTCTAGCCTTCCTTTTCTCTGCTTTGGGTTTGGCCTGAACTTGGGGTTCTTTCCTAGTTGGAGTTGGTTTAGCATAGTTCTCCAGGCCTAGAAGCTAGAAAGGCCAGCTAGGAGGGCGGTCCCTATAGGCTATCCATCCAATCCTTTTCAGAATTGGAAATGGGTATAGAGAAATGAAGTGACTTGCCCAAGGTCACATGGCTGGACAGTTATGGTGAGTCTAGAACCTAAGTGTTTTAGTTCCAAGCCCATTGCCCTTTCCTCTGAGTCCACTGGCCCTCTCTCTCCCCTCTCTCTTTTTCTCTGTCTTGTGTAGCTCTCAACTTATCTCTAGCCCAGTGTGCATGCCTCCAAGTGTCTCTGGTTTTTCTCTCGATATGACCTCTCTGGTACTGTCTGTGCCTTCATGGCTCAGTAGGAATGATTTGCTGTGATGACTGACTATTATTAATCATGATCTGTTCCACTGAGGCACAGGGGGTGAAGGACAAGGTCAGGACACTCACCAAGCTTCTGCTGTCACCAGCCTGCCTACCCTGAAGTCTTCAGTTTTAGAATTAGAACATGAATTTACACAGAAGAGTTCAGGTGCAAGTTCTAAAGTCAGGAGTCATGCTGAGCTTTGGCATAGGAGAGGGTGGGAAGTATTAACAATGACTTATTTAACATGCTATATGCCAGACTTGACCTTTAACCTACCTCTCCCATTTAATCTTCCCAACTCTCCACACTGAAGGTATGTGATTCTCATTTTATTATCAGGAAACTGAGTCTTAGTGTAGTAACTGACAATGTCAGCAGAAAGAAAGGGCAGAGGGGGAGTCCAAACCCAATCTCAGTGGATTCTAAAGCCCTTGCTTTTCCCATTGTTAGCCCTCTAAACCAGACTGCATTTCTACAAGGGGGAAGCGGGATCTTAATCTAGAGCTGTTGTCCTTGGGGGTAGGTGAAGGGAAGGTTGTATATACAATCCATTAATCCTCTGAAACTGATGGAAAGCTCTGTGTGCATGGGACATGACTCTGGGTTCTTTCAGATTTTCAAATGCCTAGAAATTCTGAAAGCACAGTCTAGGTGCTCTGATTTCAAGAAATAAGTTTAGAGCTGACGAGAGCCTACAATCCTAGCTACCCAACGCTGAGACTGGGAGGCTTGTGGTTCGAGGTTTCTGGGGCAAATAGTTTGAGAGATCCTATCTAGAAAATACCCAGCACCATAGAGGGCTGGTGGAGTGGCTCAAGTGGTAGAGCACCTGCCCAGCAAGCGTGAGGCCCTGTGTTCACACTCCAGAAAAAGAAAAGAAAAGAAAAAGAAATAGGCTTAGGCCTCACTGATCCTGTAAAAGCCTGGGTGGTAAGAGGTGGTGTAGGCTGAGGTCTCTAAGAACTAAAATCTGCCAATTAAGCCATGTATGGTGACCCAAATATGTAATCCCCAAAACTCAAGAGGTTGATTGAAAGTCTCAGACCAGCCTGGGCTGCAACATAGTGAGACCCTGTCTCAAAAACAAAACACAAACAAGCAACAACAAAACCCCCCAAACAAACAAAAACCAAAAGCAAAACAACAACGAAACCCTGCAAAAATTGGACTTGGTGGCATGTATCTGTACCCTTAGCACTCAGGAGACTGAGACAGAGGATCACAAGGTCAAGGCCAGCCTGGACTACATAGCAACACCCTGTTTCAAACAAACAAACAAAAATGTAAAAAAAAAAAAAAAAAAATACCCTCGCAACTGGTGTGTTGACACAAACACAGACGGATCATAGGTGTACTCAGACAGATGTTGATCCTTTCAGTCGTTGGAGCATGGAAAGACCTGGGACTGCCAGTGACCCCAGGCTGGTCTTCTGGCTAGAGCAGCCCCTCTCGCTTACTTTGGGAGGTTGCACACAAATTTATGTTCGCAGTGTGCAATGGTGCAAAAAAGAGTGCAATGAAAAAGGGGCTAGAGAGGTTGTTAGTTTGTGGCTTCTAGATTTGGCCCTAGGCCCCATTCCTCCTGCACTGAGGTTGGGTGATGAGCAGGACTTGGGTCTCATAGAAGGAAGGAAGGAGGGGCATTTATGAAAATTACAGAACTGCAGGGTGGGGATCTGCAGAAGTAGAGTAGGAGCCCAGGTATAGTAGGAGTCTGGGTCCAGAAGAGCCTGCTGAAGTGCTGTGTGTATAAGAGAGGGAAGTTGGAAGGTACAGGAGCAGGCCCTGTGAACCCTGGTGCTGTCACTGCCCTGACTCAGGTCTCTGCCTAGGGGAACTGATGGCTCCATCATCTGTGAGTCACCACCCACCACTCCTACCCACTGTCTGCCCTGGGAGAACCCCCCCTGTCTTAGACTTAAACCCAGATTTCCCTCCCCTTCAGTCCCCCACTATGCTCAGAGTATCAGAGGGGTGATGAAAGATGTTTGCTTGGGTGACAACAACAGTAGTCCTGGGAGATAAGATGCTTAGCTTCTCTTGGGTTTCTAGGACTCTGAATGTAGAGATTGAGACTATGACCAGATATCTCTTCAGACACCAAACTGGGATATTTTTTCCAGGTCAGGCTAGGCTGGGGAGGGTCAGAGGGACAGGGACTAGGCGATAGGCACTGACAGAGAAGGGCAGGGATGAGGGGACTCTGGGGTAAAAAAAAAATGCAAGACCCAAGGGCCCAGAACAAGCAGAACAATGTTAAGGAATTTCCCTATTCCTGCTAAGGTTTTCTCTTCCAAACGTTCTTCAATTTTTCTATTTCTTTCAACATTTTTGAAGGTACCAGGATTTTATAGCAAAATGTAACAACCCCAGATAGGAAGTTAAAAGGAAAATAAGATCCTCTGGGGTGTCCTAACAATTGACCTCATTTTATTTGCTCGCTCGCCCCACTCGCATTGCTTTCCTTTCTTTGCTTCTTGTCCCTACCTTTGGAGAGGAAAAAGATTCCTGCTGCCTCTCAGCTGATGGGCCTAGAAGCTGGAGGAGAGAGCCATTGGGGTGGGAGCTGTGGGCGGCTGTGTTAGCTTCCTGGGATGGCCTTCCCAGATGCAAGCACATCTGGAGCCCATCAGGGAGGGACCTGGAGCACCAAGATTCCCAGTGCACATCCGATTGGGGATTCAAAGATCTGTGGATGAGCCAGGCACTCCCCACTCCCTTCTACTCCCAAGAGTAGAAGGGAGTGCCTGCCATTTCTAGCCCTCTCTTGGGAAGG